ACATTATGTTGCACGAATTCTCATATAGACGCAATGCTATCTTGCTTCTGTTGTTTGTTTACTCTGGTTTACTGAATGTTAAGCAAAATGGAAATATAATAACCAAAATAGCCGGACTGAAGCCGTAGAAGAAACCGTTAAGCATTGACTTCGAAGCACCAGTTTCCTTCGTTAGAAAAATGACTATCTTACATAATTTTTAGTTATATAATCACCCCTATTCTTGATAACACTTTTGATTTTGCGTGTCCTGTTTATTAATACAATAGAACGTAATTGATGGCAATGTGTCAAAGCACCAAAACAGCCAGGCTTGCAAAATTTTAGAAACCGATGATCAAACCATGGCTTCGATATGTCCTTGTGTGGTGGATTTTTCCCTCCTTGTAGGCCTATAATGGGTATTAGGCCTACGTATTTGCCAGGTGTCTCGATGATTTTGACCCCCTGTGAATTCGTACCCTTAGCCAAAATCTCTAGTGAAAGCGAGCAGCTTGGCTGAGTAGGCTAAAATCTGGTGGTAGTTCTGTGTATGTACTGAAGCACAGCTTCTATCTGAGGGCTAAAATACTGCCCAATTCACCACCAAAGAGACCCACCCCCAAGTCAGAAGTTACCCTTTGCATGTTTCACACCTAAAATTCCAAATTAAAATAAAATAAAAAAAAAAAAACTCGACTCCAGAGGATTATAAGAAAGGGGGGGAATTCCTGTATCACCGATACTGGGTTATGCCATTTTGGAAATATTTCTTAGAAGATCCTTTTTTTGCTTCCATACCAGCTTCCATAGTTTTTATATTATGTAGTGTCCATAATAATATGGACCTATACATTTTCTTATATACTGACTTATTCAAGTCCGAAAATCTGAGTTGCTGTGAGTTAAAAGATTACTTGCGCGAGTTTGAGGGTAGCATATATTTTTTTTCTAGCATCTAAATCTAAAATATCCCTAAAGGGCCGTGCAACATTCTTTTGTTCAAAATATACTTCCGCCGGAAAACAGTATAGGTTTATGTTAAATAAAACTTTTTTATTCGATCTATTGTAACAAGATTAGAGATCACAGACGGTAACAACGTTGTATAAGTATAGATGTATGCTTATGCATAGAAACCGCAAATCATATTCATTCAAATATTATTGACAGGGCGTTGTAACCACAATTAGGAAAACTACCAACTATATTATAGGGATTGAAGGTTATCATCAATAATCGCTGGTTTATTCAGTAATAGTAATCTATCTAAATTTAAATTTGTTTAAATAATACATGAACTCGGTCATACCCGGATTCATCCCAACGTTTGGCATTTAAATGCTGCAATTAAAAATGGAGACCGTTAGCTGTTATCAATATCAATTTCATTTAATCATGTAATAATGTAACATTGAATTAGGCCTATAAAGTAACGAGTGTAGCTGCTGCTGCTACTGCTGCTGCAACAACAATAACAACAACAACAACAACAACAACAACAACAACAACGACAATAATAATAATAATAATAATAATAATAATAATAATAATAATAATAATAATAATAATAATAATAATAAAAGTAATAATTATTATAATAATATGCGCTAAGTCGGACTTAAGGGGAATATCTTTTATGTTATTTTCCCCTTAACGTCGTTTTTTTTAATTGTTCTCTAATTTCTCCGTTGTCTAAGTTCCCCTTAAAAGGTAGGTTTTAGTAACATAATAATAATAATAATAATAATAATAATAATAATAATAATAATAGGCCTAATAATAATAATAATATCAATAATAACAACAAAAATTAACGATGACGACGAAGACGATGACGACGAAGACGATGATGATGATAATGATAATGAAAATGATGATGATGATGACGACGATGATGATTATGATACACCTTAGCGTTCCTGTTCATATAGCTGTTACATACAAGCATAATTATTTTTCTCACTAATGTTGTAGACATATTCACCCCTCATTTTCAAAATACGTTTTAAATCGCTCTTTTAACTTAATTGAAAATAAAATGTAGGCCTAATGTCAATGAAAACATTGACAATTTCGTAGACGTTGGACGGTTGATTAAAAGTGGGACGGGTCACTAAAGAGATTTGACTTCTAGGTGTCCTCTTGTGTTCAAGATACACATAAGTAAACTTAAATATGAAGTCAGTTTTCTCAGCGTTTGTCATATTTGGATTATCAGGTTTCAGTCAAACACTTCTGTCTTAGTGATCGTGTTATATTGGTAAATGTAATGGAGACAAACCGCAAAAACGAGCTATGTCCACAGTTAATACTCGAAACAGAAACGTTGTGTAAATCCACCTCCGTTAAGTTAGTTTAGTAGTCATTTCACATGTTCTCATCATTTTACAAGACAAGCGATAGCAACCGCTTGTGAATCCATTGGACAATAGTAACAAAACAACGTCTGATTGGTCCAGCCAACTGCGTAGTACGGCCAATCGCTGCCAGAGATAACTAGGCCAGACGCCAGTTTTGTGTTAAATCTTTTTTGTGGCAGCGATTGGACTAACATTAGCAAAATGTGTGAAAAGCACTTGTTCTCTGTATAGGTATTGAGTGGGCCCTATTGTCAGAGTCACTTTATACTTGCAAACGTAGCTTAGCGCATCACAGTTATTACTGGCTCTTACAGAAAGTCAGTTTACTCGCGGAGAAACCGTTATCTCAACTAGACGGCCAACAAATAAGCTTACACACTGTGGCACGATAGTTTACGAATATATAGTATTTTTTTTCTACATCCAAACTGGGTATGATTGGAGACATGAGTACAAAGGTTAACACAACTTCGAGTAAGTGTTATTTTTTTCCCATTGTTTTGTAAATTATATATGAACAACGCAATGTATTAATCGGTAATGTTTATATCGGTTTATAATATATTATTATTTTGTCGTTAAAATTGTTTTAGTTCAATACCGATATATATATAATTCTTATACAATATTGAATTATGTTCATTTTGCTGGCTTATTAGTTAAAAATTTAACTGTTTCTGTTTAGTTTATAATGTTTTTATGTTTTGCATTACTTTTGCAATACAATTATTGAGTACATTTTTAAAAATAATAAATATAGTATATCAGAATTTATCGTAGCAAGTACATTTAATCATTGTAGGCTTAGTTAAAATATCACACTGATTTTAAAAATATATGAATGTATTGTAGACTCCTCATTTTTGTTATTTCTTAAATACATCCATTGAACCATTGTATATTGAAAATAGCACATTTTGTAGAAATGAATAATCTCGTAAGAGGAAACAGTAATCAATTAATTAATATTTATATTAATTAATAGTAATAGTTAACATTGTCACAATTTTATTTTTTTAAATGAAATTAACCATTGAATTTCACTGAAAAATACTAATCATTGGATTATTGTACAGTTAAAATATTATACCATATTTTTACAAACGTATGTATCTAATTAAGAACCATTACACTTCATTTTCCTTAGTTTCGATGTATGGGAATTAATATATTTATTGCATAATTTAGTTTTGGTCAAGCAGATTTTTGGGATCTCCTTTTTTTAAGCAGAGATCTATTTACACAGTTTTCAAGAAACGATAGCATTCTTGGCAGTCACTGTAAACGGAAATACAGGTCTCCCTCTATTAAAAACCCCTCCAATTAAAGTCCCCTTTTCTGTGGTCCCAGATTAACAAATGTCTCTTATCTTTATTATTCTAATTAGAGACCAAACCTGCTAAAGACCATCACCCCGGTCCTAAAGGTTGTCTTTAATTGGAAGTGACCTGTAAACCCTTTATGTGTGATTAATAGTAATTATTATTATTATTGTTTAAAAAATATACTGTGCCCGCCAAAACATTTGTAAAAACTCACCGGAGACTCAATTAAAACGTTGAATTGCTAAATTAAAAGAATCACATGTTATAAACCTTCGATAAATTACAGATTAAAAAAATCAATTATTCACAAACGTTCTACAATTTTTCATAACTTATATTATAAATAAATAGTACATATATCCATATCTAAATTGTGGTCGATTTTCATAATAACTAACATTATAGCACAGGTTGGCAAAGCGCGGTGTGCGGCCCGCCAAGCAACATTGGCTAGAAAACACCTTGTTTTTTACGGCCCGACACCGATCATATGTAAAAAGTAACTGGAAACATCAAAGTTTGGTTGCAGCCCTCGGTGTTAAATCAGAAATTCACTTTGGCCCTCCGACCGATTGTTATGCCCACCCCTGCATTATAGGTTACCTAACCGGATATATAAAGAAAACCCCCGCTTAAATGTCCATATATAAAGTCTATATGAAAGGTATATTACCTAGATTTAGATTAATTAACATTGAAAATGTTTTTCGTTATAATAATAATATTCAGCCGAAAAGCTAATCAGACAATTATGTATACTAATCAGGACATCATGTATCTTCTAATTCAGGACAAAATATTGTATATAGGCCTATAGAAATTATGTTCACAGATACATTTGTTAACATAAAATTGTTTATTTTAAGTAATACATATGCTATTTTTAACTAATAAAAAAGAAATAAAACATTAATTTCAGCTGATTTGACTTAGGCCTACATTTAAACTGACAATGATATTGGGTACTTGTAGCAATTGTATGTTCTATGATAATTAATTTACTTATTTTGAGTATTTTTATCAGCGTAAACACGTTTTTGTTTTCAATTTGTTTTTCATATGAAAATTAATAACTCTCATAATACTTCGAAATTTAAATCCACCAAACACGAGAGAATTTCGCTACTTCAGGCTTGCGAACTAGATAATCAAACAAATTGACAAATGGGAATGCTTACATTTTTCACGCGCTTAACGTACGTGGGAGGAAATAGGCAGGCCATTTTGCTAACCTGCTGTTTGCACACGTTGTATCTAAAGTTGAGGTGAATTTTCTCGTGTGTGGCGGGCTTCAATAGTTCAAGAATGCCGTTACATCTACGTTATATCAAGGGATAGTGACGTATTGTGCTTATTCATAATTTTCATAAACTTAACGCAAATATTATTTGATAATTTTTTTTTCATTCAAAATTGGGCCTATTAATATATAAAAAAAAAGAAGAAGTTTATCAACATCTGACGTGATCATTCGACATGGTATATTGTTAACATTTGTTTTATTATCGACATTGTCAGTTTTTAGCATATGACCATCATAAAAGTCGTTGATAAAGTACCAACATTTATTTATATATCATATATGATAAACTATTATAATATATAATGTAATAATTTAAAGCAAAGTTTGATGAAAACATTTTAAGAATAAATAAAATGCCTGCAAGAGGGAAATAAAATTACTTATTATAGTTATTTGGATCACCATAAATTATTTGTGACGTAGACAATATTGTTTACTGCGTTTTCACATGTAAATATCTCAAACGATATAACAACCCAAGTCACAATAAGTCAAACCCCATTCCAACGCTTGTTTGTCGGCTCAATAATTAATTGCATGGGCGTTCGAAGAAATCATAATTATAATAATATACCTTTATAAATAATAAATAGCCCACTGTGAAAAGTACTCCATGGCTAAAACGTTTCAACGTTAGGCTCATTAACTCTGCCTTAGTTCTCACGGTCTTAACAATAGCGATCAGTGAAACTCATCTTCCTGCATTTCGCCCAATTTCATAAAGTCAACAAGTGTTAGTATAACTGAAAATGCGTCTCAGATTTTGACATGCGAGTTTTCTTTGCGTCCTCTGGTCCGTGGAAAAACTTATGGATATGTTACGCTTCTGCGAGCTACCCGTAATGAACATGTATATAGGTTAACTTCACTTATGACTTATCAATACACTTTACTAAAAATGGTAGATGAACCTAACTTGTGTTGAACCAGAAAAATAACTCAGACGTAGGAATATACTTCTAATGGCCGGACAAAGTCATGTTTAGTTTTCAAAATGAATATTTACGTTGTGTTTGTCCAACTCCCAAAACGCGTTGACATTTAAATTTGCCACAAATACACCGTGATGAAGTATTTTGTTTGCTGAATTTAACGCACAGGACGCCTCTATCTAAACACCTAGGTGATTTAAAGTACTGAATATAATGTGGGTGCGTGTAAATATGAATAAATTCAGATATAGGCCTATGCATAAATGTATTCACCAATTTGCCGTTTGAACGTACACCATAAAAAAATATTATTTATTTTTCAGAAACCCTCGGTAGAGACAATCAACCGCTAAATTTAGATAATAAATTGTAAAATAACTTTCGCTTCCTGATTGATGCTAAAACAAAGATCGAACTTTCAATTTCAATGAATGGCCACTGCCCTCTCCCAGACAAATGTAACACCAAGAGAAGAGTCAATACTTTGGCCATGACAGTCATTTAAGCCGCTTTGATATCGTGAGATGCAATTTATAAAACTATTAAATGCGTATTCAGAAGCTAACACCCCGTGTTATCACGTCAACGCTAAATTCGTCGTCCCACATCGATCGTAACAGCGTAGCCCTCGCATCCAAATAAAAATCGTTTTCGTTTGCTACCATCAACCTTCAAATTCTGTAACGCATTTGTTATTTTTAATATTCTTTGATAACCTGCATTAGGCCTAACAGTTTTTCTTTTGTGCTTAGGGTCGAGGACCTCGGGTGTGAAAACCTAATATTACCGTGATCTATATTTTATAGCGTTTGGCGAAAAAAAACAACAAAAAAAACCAATATATTCTCAGTATAATCATACTTAGGCCTATATTATTATTGTGTTGTTGTTTTTCAAGAGTAATAAATGCACCGTATGCCCAAGATCTTCCAATATACATAGTATGGTTATTAATAATAGGCATATAGATTAATTTTTATACACTACTGTATAGTAAAATTATAATGAGTAAACTTTAGTCTGGATGTAAAAATATCCACAGACACCTGTGATGTGACGTCAGTCACAGTAGCTTTTATAGTACAAATAACTTAATAGGCCTAACGACAATAGTACTAGTTAGTGTTAGTTTAGCACTATGCTTCAAACAATAGTTGACTAAATCGTTCTCAGATTTTTAAGGCTATACACCCGTTTGCTCAACAATGTTCTTGTCAAAACAAACAGAGATCAGTATTTTTGACGTTGAAATCTGTTTGTCTCAATCACTTAAAATGATTACATTTCAAAATCTGCCCTAACAAAAGTTATAGGATTCACAGTAGGAACCATATTAAAGTTAGTCACTTCTACTCCACTCGCTCCACCACCACCACCACCTGATCAGATTCCGGCTTTTCTTCAGCTATTATAGCAGTCAAAATTATCGTCTTAATTAGTGTCCTCTTCACAGCTTAACTAAGCTGGAGATAATTAGCCTTGAGGCTAGATCTCTTGAGTTCAACACTGCTATTTATTCGACTTTTCAAGTCTAACCGTAGCCCTTCAGTGGTTTAATTAATGATAGCAGGGTTGAATATAAGATGTGATAGGGAGTAAGCTGGCTAATGTTTTTATTTGTAATACATTTGTGTCTTAATAAAACCTAATAGTTTCTCCGTGGATAAATAATCCAAACGACGTATGGACCCTGATCTGAAATTTTATTTTAACCATTATATTCTTTACTATTAGTGAAATTTAGCGAACATGTGTTTGCCTTCACAGTATATCCAACGATTTGTAACACATCGACTTTTTCATGTACCTTTGCAATTCAACGAATCGACGCCCTGCTACACCGTAGTTCAAGATAACCCGTCAAATATTATAAATTAACAATACATTTGACCCGATATAATGCATACTGAGTGTTTATGTTTTCATTTCACACTGGCTTTTGCGTTAATACTGACTTCTGATTAAGAATCGATAGTTAGTTGTAGTGGAAGTGTGAATCTGGGAACATTGTCCATTGCCTGCCAGCCTGCTATGCGTTTGTCGACTGTAGCGCTTCATTCTCTTGAAAACAGAACATTTCGTCACCTATAAAATGTAATATTGACGACTTCGTTTACTGGCTGTTGAATCATAAAATCGATGAACATTTTACTATGCTACCCTGTTTTTAATAATAATTATAATAAGTCTGATAAAATTATTTATAAAGTTTAATATTCATTAAAACATTTGAAAAATTAAATTAAATCTAAAATTTAAAAAGCTATCAACTATTTAATCATTTTAACACCATACCATATAACTTCAAAATTGCTTGCAGATTGCTGACATTATAAGTATCGTTTATGTTCTGATTGCTTTTTAATCCATACTATAATTTAATTTGGCTATTGCAGGTCGGATCCTCGACATTCCGTGCAAAGTGTGCGGGGATCGTAGTTCCGGGAAACACTACGGAGTTTACGCTTGCGATGGTTGCAGTGGCTTTTTCAAGCGAAGTATTCGACGCAACCGTACGTACGTGTGTAAAAACCGTGGCTCGGGGCCGTGTCCGATTGACAAGACGCATCGTAACCAATGTCGAGCCTGCCGGCTTAAGAAGTGCATCGAGGTACAGATGAACAAAGATGGTAAGTAAGGGTATAAACAAAGATAATAAATAGCGAAAGAATGAGCTGTTCCGCGTATTTGCATTAAAATTGATGAAACATCTGCCCTCCCGCGAATGGGGTAAAATTTGAATATTTTACTAAGTGGAGAAACTACAGGAAACAGACGAACCAGAGCAACGTCTTTATTATTACTATATTGCGCCGCCCCGCGGACGGGGTAAAATTGCTCTCTGTGTACCCACAAAGCCTTTCGAACGGATGCTCCACTATATTGGGAAGCTGCTCTATCTTCTGCTATTTATTATCCTTGGTATAAGCTGCTAAAACTATAAGGAAAAAACTTTGTGAATAAGATATAATATATCTTATATCATTTGACTCATTATTTACTGTATGAAAATTTTTTGTAAAAATAAACAAAAAAAAAAGGAGTAAATTGGAGCATGCGTAGAATGTTTAAAAATATTCTTATAGGAAACTACCATGATAGTTTAACTCTTCCAGTGCCATGCCCTCTCTTCCTTATGGAAGAGAGGGCATCTGTAAAGGTCTTCTCATCTGCTACAAAAGCTGTCAAGTAGGTCGCCTTTGTTCAAGATATACTTATAATTGATGTGTTGGTATCTTCGATCCAACCCAATAGAGAGGATTGCTTTAAACCGCGATTTTAACGGACAATATACATTTATTACACATATGGATATGCCTCCTTCAGTCACTCGAAATTTATCACTAATCCTTTCAATGTTAACATATAAAATATGGTCAACAACTAGGCCTACCCTCTGTTAATACTTCAACTTTAAAGAAACATAATTGAAAAGAAAAAAAATCCACTCATTCGTGGTTACATCAGCAACATGTTGCATTGAACACTGCTTGTTGGTTATTTGCTCTTTTTCTACTCCCCGTGGGTATTGGGTCGAAAGATGGCGTTCGCTCACCACATGTCATCCATGGAATCGTGAATAAAAGCAGTCGTGATTGACGCGCTAGAAGGGGCTCCTTATCCCACTTATGTAATTTGAATGAGAATTCTATTTAAAAATAATAAGAAATGCATGTCACTTGAGCTTATATCGCCATGTATTTACGATAAGTTATGATTAATGTATTCACGGAGCGCCATAATACCACGCACCTCCCTGGTGCGCGCGCTCTGAGTAGCGTCTGGACCGCAGAAGGTTGTTCTAGTGACCCAGATGACACAATAATCAAATTAATCCATTTCTAAAAAAAACAAACTTGAAGATTCTTAGTTGTATATGAAATCAAATATTTATCTACTTTCAAACAAGAAGCATGCCGATGAAAAAAAATTAGATAGGTCTACAAAACTTGCTGTAATCAAATTTACTAACTGTTTAACAAAAGTTGAATAAGGTTTGTAGATTGAAGATGGACTACACGTGTGGCAGGAAACAATGGTACAAAAATGATGATTGGCAAGCCTTGTTCCGCTTGCCAAATCACAGCATTACTGACAATTGTTTATACAATCTCTTGTTAGGCAAAACAAAGTTCTAGTGGCCTGAGAAAAGTGTTTCCAGATCTTCAGAAATAACACTAATCTCTTAGTTGTTTTCTTATCATAATTGTAACACTATTGTCTATTCCCACATAACACTCCATCTTTTTGTAAGTAGCGACTTTGCCTAAGCACTCGGAGATCACGCTACGGGAGTCCCTGAGTATGAATGGTAACTAGCTTTTCCTTATGTTTTTTTTTTACCATTGTTTCATAACAACAACCTTTCTAATTACCGATTAATATGTGTTAAACCTAAGAATGATACTATGGCAAAACACTTATGGTTGATATTAATTAAATTTGTTTGCAATGAAAGAAATCATTCACTAATAATTTAATTATTAAAGAAGGCATAGCTCTGTATATAAAACATGTAATCATACAGTAAGCTATTAATTAATATCAGTACATGAGATAGAACAAAAATACCAAAATCCAGTCAGTCTTTCAACATCTTTCTTTATATTGATACGCACACCTATTCAATGCAGTTTCATCTCTTCATTAATTCTTTTAATAAATGGCACAATAGCTTCAAAACTTTTACCTTATATAGTTGCAGTGTACTCTGAGAAGTTGCGAACAATTTTATCTATCTAAAGTCCTAGTGAACTAAGCGATCATGCATTCCTAAAGGACGGTAACTATAGGCTTAACATGTAACAGAAAGATCAACAAAATACCTTGTACCTACGCTTTAAAAGTATAATCTTCCAAAATATATTTGACAAGAATAAAATAAACTTATGCATTTTATATTATGATTTCCCTAACATTTATATTCGAAATGTGTTAGCTTAGTTAAAGACGCTATCGTCACTTTATTATACAAATAGTAAAGGTGTAGAAGTATAAATATGCTTGTAGGCAAATTTAATTTGTGAGTTGACTTATACTTGTTTTAAACTACGAGGTGGGAAAAGTAAACAGTACAGGTAGTGTTAAAGTATGGGATCATCAATTTCTCTTTCATCAGTTTTGTCACCTCTGTCATTGATGGAACTCAACGACCTTCACAGAAATCTCTACTAAAAGCCCCAACAAGTTGTGAGCAAACACCGACTACGAAAAGATACCTTTTGTACACAGAAAACAAGTCATCTGACCTGACACTAAGTAATACGGTAGACAATTTTGACCAGGAAGCTCAAATCCGTCATGATTAGATCTAACTGCTACATACTTTGACACGAGGATTAACAAAGAATTACATTACATCTACTTTACCAAACTTTTGCCCTTTGCGTGGCTCTCACGTTTAGACTCACGTAATCACATTTTAACAATATGATGATACATTTTTGTATTCACATCCAAAATTCTCCGGTTACTGTTTGGGTGCCCTACCAACTAACAATAGTTTTTCTGTACAAGAAAAACAGTTCAACAGGATAAGGGCGAAGTTATCAAATTGGTCAAACTTGGCAATAATAGTCATGTTTTAAACATAGATTTTGACAGAAATCAAATGAGTCTTAATAAAATAGCCTTATAGGGAACTATACTCTGGTTAATTTTGTTCTTGCCGGGTAATTTACATTACAACCCCATAGACGACGGAATTAGCCCTACTTTTAGTTACTGGTAGCCTCATCTAAAACGATAGAAGAAGGGTACCGGTATGCGTCCTCTGCGTCAGATAAATTTACCACAGTTGCTTAATTGAAAGCAAATACTTATATTGGCAGAGCATCTTTAATCTACATACGATGTTGTCCTTATTTGTGAATAATCACTGAGGATAAGTGTCAAAATGATTAAACAAATTGTTTAAAACTTAAACTCCATGGTCACTTTATGAAAATATGCCCTCTGAAAATTAATAGACCAATCGAAATAGGACATTGAAGGCCAAGCCTCTTATATCAAATACTGTCTACTGAACAGAGTGATATAAAGAATGATTTGAGGAGAGTTTTAAGCAAAGAAAGACAAAAGCCAAGGCCTGGGGCAAACGCTATTCTTCAATACACACACAGTTGTTATATTATTGACACTACGCATCACTATACGGGTTTATAAGACCTTCCCGTTACCAAGCCCAAAGGCGGTAAAATGTTGCGGACAGTATAGTGGTGCACCTGCGTAAACAGATCGTCAATATCAACAATGCAGGAAAAGCCTCGGGACGAAGTCATCGTAACAAGACTTGAATTCCTAAGCAACTGACTTTAACTCGGCTCATTTACTTTGCAGAGATTGGCAATAAGTACTGGGCGTATACTTAGGCTCAATAGAAACAAGCAGGACAAAAGTTTTTGATCGCTAACGGGGGTGTTCAAGTGCCCGCTACCGACAACGACAAGAGATATGGCCCTCTAATTCCGAGTTGATGCATAAACATTATTTGCAGTTCGATACTGACAATGTAAAGCTCACTTGATTTAATGGCTGACTATCAGTTTAAAAAAAGATTGGTAAAAAATACTGACCGCAGGCAATATATATCGTCCCCGCTTATCTTATGTGACAACATCTTAATTCTTGTCCCCATTCCGGCATTTAGGTGAACACCCCAGGTTTCTCTGAGGCTTACAGTATATTACAACTTAATACATGATAATTTAGTTACAGGTGGTACTAACTGACTTTTAAAAACCAAGGAGTTTTCAAAACCGATACCAATTACAATATATTTACAATAATACACAAGCTTACCTTATGTTAATTGAGTGTATTACGGTAGCTTAGCCTACACGTATCTATAAAGGTAGACAAATTATTATGCTAATTTTAAAATTGAGCACCGATAGTAATGTCAATCAAGATATATGTATGATTGACATATATCTTGGTAATAAATCTGATATATCGCCAGGAGGAATTTGCAAATGATGCGACTTGAAAAGCTAAACGTTTAAAAGTTGTACAAATTTTACCCAGGTGCGCTTGAGAAAAAAACGGCCCACTGGGAGGGGCAGCAAATAGTCCTCCTGTATGCAACTAACAAAAGAACACAATACAAATGCCGTTTCGTTCAAGTGACAAAATATTACCCACGGCACAGTTATGTATGTATTGATAAAAGCTAAAGTCGTGTCTGTTTAAGAAAAACACTATATAACCAATACTTTTTTTTCTATATGTAATAGTTGCTATGATTGGCATGAAATCAAATACTTTGAGTTTAAAAATACGAAATGGAAATTCCTGTTTTGTTGAAATTGCTAACCCTAACCCAAATTGTGTCTGAAATTACTTTGAGTTGGATGTTAGGAATTATTGAAATACCGTGAATGAGTGTTTTCTTACATGTTCTCTTTAATACATCTTTTAAGTTGCAATGGCCAACAAAAATGAAATGTATAGTGAATTGCGCGAAACTTGCATTGGCATAAACTTTTTGTTTGGTGTAGAAACATTATATTTTCAATAAAATGTCCTATATTTTTATTGCGTTTACCTTAAGGTCTACCTTTCTAATAATATATAAAAAAATAATTAGGCCTAGCACGTAACATAATATGATTTTTTTGCAGGAATAATTTTGGTTTTTGTTTGAATGCATATACATAATCCAACCAAGGAAGTTATGGAATCAAACTAGACCAATATATTATTGGTGTTTTTTTTTCTTGCAGCTGTTCAACATGAAAGGGGTCCGAGAAACTCGACCATTAGAAAACAAATGGCACTCTATTTGAAGGAAGCAGCAGCTGGGGAAGTTCCACAAGCCTACGGACCAAGATCGCCCTACCACGGCACAATTCTCGGGGAAGAAGCCTACCGCGGCCTCACCGTCGCCGTAGACTACCCTCCCATCACCCCTATCGTTATATGCCAACCAACTCCAAAGGTAGGCCCAAGCTTCAGATTACTAAATGAGAAGCCATAATGGAGGATATTTTGTTGTCTACTGTATGCCAGAAATGATGTCTAACATTCAATGGTTCAATTCCATCTATCCATGTTTTTCATTGATATTAAATATAAACAAATAAATTTATTAGTAAAACACATAACATACCATACGGTATGGTTGTAAAACAAACTTATAAGATTTTGTTAGAAATAATGAACTGTATCAAGCACATATAAGATTTAGACTATTTAAGCTTTCTTTAATAATAATACTTTTGTTACACAATTCTATTCTATTCCATCAGCACCATTACCCAATCGAGATGATGCGATCGCCCTTAAACAGTGTGGAGAACATTTGCGAAACAGCAGCTAGACTCTTGTTTATGAGTATCCAATGGACCAAGAATGTGCCACCATTTGTATCTCTGCCACAGAATGATCAACTTAACCTATTGGAAGAGGGATGGAGGGAGTTGTTTATCCTAGGTGCTGCGCAGTGGCAAATGACACTGGATAGTGGACCTCTCATGGCTGCTGCAGGTACGCAATCGATGATTTGGCCTATGCCTCTGTACTTGCAAATATATTCTTTTCATACATATTTAATATTAGCTAATGGCACGTGTTTTCTCCTTTGGAAACATTATAGACCCACGTTGAACTGATGATTTTAGACCATTAAATTGTTGCTTATTTAACTAAAATGTATTAAAAACATATTAGAGAAAAAGCTCTGAAATTAGACCAAAGGCAACGTATCTACCATAACGCATACTGAATACAGAACGAAACAAAGCACACGCGCTATACAAAGAAGGCAATGTTAAATTATAATTATTGGTGTCTAGTGGCACTATAATTTGTTAAAATTAATTTCATAACATCAGGGTCATTGAAAATTCATAATTTTGTTGTTAAGCGCTCTTAAAATCTATATTTAGTGTACGAAACACTCGACCTAACCGTCGTTAATCTGATCTATTTTAGGACTCCATTCCGAGAATACACCACCAGCTAAAGTTGCCGCTGTAATGAGTGAACTACACGTGCTACAAGAACTCATTGAGAAATTGCGACAGTTACAGGTGGACGCTACCGAATACGCATGCCTGAAAGGCATTGTTCTCTTTAAATCAGGTAACACAATTAGCTCTTTTATTATTTTCTATCAATCCATTACCTATTTTAATAAAACTCTTATTGTGATAATGACTCTTGATTATGAATGATATCAAAATTCATACTTTTAAAAACGTAAATATGCTTAGTTCCTTACCTTATGATTAGTTGCGTATTATTTATACAGACACGCCCACTAAATTGTAAATATGAAATCGTGTAACTCTCATATGGACATACGGATCTGTCACAAAATCTCCTCTTTGTTAATGACAGATTTTGATGCATTATTGTTGCTATTTGGAATGCGTTTTCATTAGTTTTCGGTGTATTTTCTTTCTAGATTTAACGGGACTACAAGATGTACCTTCCGTAGCTGGCCTCCAAGATCAAGCGCAAATGACGCTAAGTAAATACATCTCAGCCATGTATCCAACACAACCGTTTCGATTCGGCAAACTTCTGCTCATCCTGCCGTCATTGAAGGCTGTCAGGCCTAGTACAATCGAAGAACTCTTTTTCAGGAAAACGATCGGTAGCATTCCTATTGAAAAACTTCTCTGTGATGTTTACAGGTCAAAAGATGTCTGAAGAGAAAATATAGACCCTGAAAAACAGTAAAATACCTACAAAGATTCGCGAATAGACGACTGTATCTGTAAAGACTATCAAACTGCAAGAAATACCATGAGTATTGGGCTAATAAAGGTTGTGGCTTGGATTTGACCAACAAATAGCAACACGGCCGAATTACTACACCGAAAGTCATAATGTTGTAGACTATGCGATATACGATACATTCATGACGTGTAAGACGAAGTGCATAAGTGAAAAGATGACATGTCCAGATATATGTTACGTAGTCAACCTTCTGTTAAATGTATCGCCTCATACAGGTCTACTACCAATTCACTTCTTTACTAGATATTGAAATTGAACCAAATGGAAGTCAATAGTTTGTTTCGATATACGAACACATTCTACTGACAAAAGTACAGCAGACCAAAAATGTTATATTTTCTTGTTAATTGTAAATTGTTATAATGTGATGTATAGTAAATTTTATTAAACGTGCCTTGAAAAGCGACCAAAGTAATTAGGTATAGAACTAGATTAGGTATATAGATAGTAGGTGCTATCCCTATAGCTAAAACTATAAGCAATTGTCTATATACAAGTACTATTGATCAACTTTGGTATATGTTATAAATCGTTAAACAGTTCTAACATTTACGTACCGATTTAACTACGAATACGAACATAATGGATCTACCCGGAGCGTTAATCCAGCTTAACAACTAACTAACCAATCAGAACATGCAATTTAATAGCCATAGATACGCTCATGTCCCCACGTCAAGCCAATTGACGTACAATTACGCTGTTTTAGGTTCCACACCTTAGCGGAAAGGTTCTACTTCGAATACCGATTCACTGTACCTTTTTGTAAATAAGAATCACTTAATAATTGTTTAAAGTTTGAAAATATTACAAATTTAAGACATTGAAACAAATTTCTTGTATTCGTAAATAATCTCACTGTGCGAGTACTTACTTACATCCACATTTTGTGGCGTACTGCAGCTTCTAATGTGTAACTTTAATCCATGTCCGACTTTTGCCGTAATTTTTCTATGAGATACACGTTGTTGAAATTGTGTGTGTTTTTTTAACTACACAACAGAATCACAATGCTTGATAATCAATGGGGGTAAAAATGTTGGGGGTTGAAAGTGAGAGGAGAGGAAAGAGATTCCAAACACTCAATACGGGTAGGGTGTATTATCCTCAACCAAAGCAGTTATCAGATTGGGTTATTAAGCGGGGATGGGGTAATTATATTAGACCTATCTCAAAGACTAAAGCAGCCGTGTATACATTTATTTATATTTTCCATGGAAACGAGTGATCTTCCATTTAAGAATTTTTTTAAAATTTTCTTTATCTTTTTCTTTTAAGCAGTAACAACATAATTATTACAAAATATGTTAATTAAATGTGCGTTGTGTGGACAAAATCGCTTTATCGTGATTTCTTTCCAAGAATTTTTTTTTAAACAAATATATATTTTAGCCATTGTTTATATTTCCCTATGAAATGCATATAGACGTGTCAGACAATCTGATTGTAAGAAACACCAAAGATGATCCGAGTATTATTATAATAAAGAATATAACTTTCAAAATATATCTTTGTCGTTGTTGTCCTTTGAGAGCTAAGAATTTGTTTCCATAGTTTTTTGATCCAAATGGCCAGTGGTCATCATCTGTATTATTGTTATCATAATAATCATCATCATCATCATCATTGTCATCGTCGCCATAATCATTATTATCACTATTATTATTATAATTCTTTATTATTATTATTATTATTATTATTATTATTATTATTATTATTATTATTATTATTTATTCATACCTCGAGTTAACACTCACTCCGTGGTCATCATCATTGTTATTATATTCATTGTCATCATCATCATTATCATCGTCATCGTAATGTTCATTATTGTCACTATTATAATTATTATCACTATTTATTATTATTATTATTATTTATTCATACATAGAGTTAACACTCACTCAATGGTCATCATGGTCGTTATAATCGTCGTCATCATCATCATCACCATCATCATTATCACTAATCATTATCATATATTATCTTCTTTTTTTCATACTGCGAGGTAACACTCATATTGGTATTAATCTACTAATGATCGTATGACTGCATTTTTATTATGTTGGTATTGGGATTAGAGATAGAATAATGTCAGTTTCTTTTCACATTGCATCCGTATTTGTTAATTATGTATTAAATTCATTAAAATGAGTTCACTTAAACTAACGTCATGTTAAATTCTTACACCAGAATGTCAAATAACGATACGCACTGCAGCAAAGCTCATCACAGGCTATTCCAGGATATTAACGTTTCTCAATACTTAGCCATCAGTTAATGTAGTGTCAGTTCATCGAAAATAGCATTACGTTCATATGGGACTTCTTTGAACAGAGGATTATGGGTAACTTAGCACAAGGCGGCAAACGCGAGCGTAGCAATCATTGTAGCGAATTAGAGCCTGATTGCTTATGTTAAGGCCATGTAAGGTAAACGGAACTAAGGGAGTGTGTAGGCCTATCATGATGAAACTAAGCCCGACCCTACGTAGTACTTCTAATCCCGATGACATCACTATGGGAGTTAGTATACTCATTACCGTGATGGTTATTAGCAAATTGTATAGGAGGAGTGTAGCTGGAACATAAGGATAAACGCCAATCTGATGTCAAGTTGACTTTTAAATTGAGGACTGTTAAAAATTTTAGTCCAACCGGAATATATTATTTCGTACGCACTGACTTGTTTTACAATATCAAAGCCGCTTAATTCGAATCTTGAATTATGTTTATCCAACACATTTACCACTTCACAATGAACCCAAGATCAAGTCCCACTTCACAGCTCAAATCCTGCTATCTCATAATTTAGATTTGTTCATTGAACAATATATTATAGAGTGTTATAACTTAAAGTAGGGGTTAATCTAGACCGGAATTCCGACAATTATACTATTATTATAAAACGGGGGGAAAGCAAGACCTTGGGATGCATTATAATGATACCAATTAACTTCTCTTAGTGAATATATAGGCCGGCCTACAAAGCCTATGGGCAAGGCTTAAAAGTCAAGTCATTTGGATCCGTAACCATGTTGTCTTTATTGAGCCTATCTTAACAAATTATTGTGTACCCTTCACCGCGAGTTTACTGAAGATATATCAAATTCAAGCTAGGTCGGGATTGTTCTTTCACCCCCGTGGGGCATTATCGCTCGCCGGTAAATATGTCTTTATCCGCTGTGGCTCTTGATCGGTTATGACATGCTTTGTAGTACAACACAAACCACACACACTCAAAACGAAACAATCACGGCGAAGAATAAGACTAAAAGTTCAATAACTTGTAAAATTGTGTACTTTTTAACCTAGTGTTAAACAATTCTATATATAGACAACCCCAAATTACAGCCGTTGTGCTGAGCACCAATTTGTTCATCTTAAATAAAAAACAAATAACGTCACAGAATGTGTTAATGTTTAAAACGTTTGAGTTCATTACATGATCATGACTATAGTAATCATAATATTGTTTGCATTCTTTTCATTTGGTTATTCGATATTTTCTTTTTAGTTGACTTTCTGCTTGGGTTTAGTCCCAGCGGACTCCTTAGATCCAAAATGTATACGCCGTGCGTCAATCATTATATATAGAGGCTAACGGGTCAATAAATCGGAATATAATGCATAACACTGTTAATTTACAAATGTCAGATTGAACAAATGCACGCAATAATTGGACAATTGAATGCAAACAATAGCTGATATATTTCCACGTATGAGAACATCATGTGTACATGCAGAGTATTCACAATCGCTGTTTAATGGCCGCTTGCATTGATGGTTCTTATATTTGCTTTGGCTTCTGTATTTCAGTGTATTCGTCATCCGCATACTAAAATTGTATGGCAAACCCACGGATTGGGAGAACTTATATAGGCCTATATCGATTATTGATAGGCTCAGCAGTCAATTACTACGGTATTCTGCTGCCGCTCTCTTCAGCGGTGCTACTACCGATACTACTCATTGAAGTGCTACTGATTGCTACTCATATCCATGGCATCAGAACCTGCACAACGATTGGGATGTGGCGTAGACCCCCCAGGGGATGATGGGAACGCTAGGGCGAGAATTTTTTTTATTCCTTGTTTCGCGTATTTATTTTTTTAAAGATTATCGGAGGAAGGCGGAATAAAAATAAAAATAAAATTGTGTTTTCTTATTTAGCAAATAGTTTTGCCAAAATCATCCAGACGGAGGAGAGAATTAAAAAAAATATTAGTGAATAAAAAATAGCATGGTTAAATGCTTCAAATTTATATAATTAGAAAGAGATATACATATCTTATCTTTGGAGATTTTCAAGGCAGCTCAGGGCGTAATAAAAATAAAGAAAAACTTTTATTTTTTCTGAAATTTCCACTTTTTTGTGGCGGCGGGTGCGCTTATTGGCCAAAAATAAAATTTTATTTTTATACAAAATAATCAATATTTGCAGTCGGCGGGTTCGCTAAACAAGGTATAAAAGAAGTCTCGCTTAGCGAGGCGAGAAGCCTATAAATTGAGGCCTGAACACATTGTGTCGTACGGCGTAGAATCCATCCCCGCTGTCATGTGACACCCGGTCTACTTGGCGGTGGCATTCGCACGATCTGTTGCGCGCGCTTCGTCGCGTTGCATTCGAAGAACCGTCGTCGCAGTTTCTGCCCGTCTTTACGATATCGATTTTCAGCTTTAAAGATCTAAACGGAATGCGTCGAGCTGCATCAATTATTGGGGTTGGGGGTGGGGGAGAGAGTGTCTGACATTGGTTCTAACATAAATCCCTACCGCTGGCGCCACCCTCTATTACCGCTACTATACTACTAGCACATGATGGTACGTGGGTGTGTTGCTACCATTATAGGGTTGTTACATCTACTAGTGATGCTGCTGCTACTTCTGCGCTGCTACTGTATGAGTACTTCGGTACTTAAATCAGTTTTTGTTTCATGTGACTATGTCTGGTGACAGCGCCAAATCAACGGATCGATTCAAAATGAACAACATAGATTCCCAGATTGTGTTATGCTTATGAAAGTAATCTTATATGATTAGACATAGAAAATAAGTTGACTTAACGTCTACACAATACTTATTATGTCAACAATCTGCTAAATTTATTTGTCAATTGACATTGGAACGGAATTCCATCGACCAACGAATCCATCGACTTATAGTGTTTCAGGAGTATATATGACGGATAACGGAAGAGTATATTCTTTGGCGATTTCCACTCTTTTGTTTCGGCTATTGGGGTCAGCTACGTGCCGGGTGAAAAGGCTTACGCCAAGTCAGCCAATACGGGCACCTGGGCTAGCATTGGGCTATGTGTACTCCTAGCTAAGTAAATGATAGCAATTGTCATAGGGAGGGATAGGGTTGCAACGAGTGCAGAAATAACAGTACAAATGACCTCACTCTACATCTGCCCTACAACTGGAAAGTAGAACGAGTTTAATTTAACAACCACTTCGTTAACAACATTTTGCATCATAATTAATCAGCTTAATACTTGTGGTAAAATCTGAAAACTAAAACGTTCAGTTGCCTTTTATAAAATATCAATTGTGTTTTTCACCTCTTCCAGGAAATTTAAGTCTGTATGCGAAGATTATAGAAACGGTATTATTATTATTAATGAGAGCTTAATAACATGAACTAAATTATTTTAATTATAAAATATTTATTTTATTTTATTAGCTCAGCACAGATACTAAAAATAAAAATAATAATAATAATAATAATAATAATAATAATAATAATATTAATGTAGAAAGCGATAATAACATATGATATTATAATACTGAATTAATAACAATAGGCTAATAGTAATAGGCCTAATAATAATAATATAATAATAATAATAATAACAATACTAATAGTAATAATAATAATAACAACAATAATAGTAATACTGATATCAATTTCAAAATGATAATAATAATACTGTAATAATAATAGCAATAATAATAGTAATATATAATATATAAATAATAATAATAATAGTATTAATAATGATGCTAATAATATAACAGTATAAATAATAATAATAATATTAATAATAATAATAATAATAATACTAATAATACCAATAATAACAATAACAATATTAGTAATAATAATGATATTAATTTAGAAAATTATAATAATAATAATATTAATAACAATTATATTAATACTGTATTTATAATAACAATAATAGTAGCAATAATAATACAATAATGATAATAATAATAATAATATTAATATTAATAATTAAGTTAAAAATTATAATAATAAGCAATAATAATAATAAATAATAATAATATTAATAATAATAAGGATAATTAACAGTAACAATAACAGTTTACAATGACAATATTAGCTTAGAACAGAAACTATAGGCCTAACGTGAAAATATGAATGAGTTTATCGAAATATTGAAGAATAATTATTAATATATTTAATAAGTCATTTGGAAACTCAATTTTTTTGTTATAATTATATTTCACTGCCAAATGAATAATTAGAACGATTTTTAT